CGAGGTCTGGTGGTCAAAGCAGGAATGCTGGAATGGAAAACAGGCTGCTCTCCTGCAATCCCTGCTGCTGCCTTCCTGTCTGCTGGTGGCTGACCTTGCCTCTTGGTTTTTGCAGTTGTAAAATGGGCATAATAGATACGAATTGCCTTGAGGAGAGCTCGTTGGGGGATGGCTAATGATTATTGGCTTCAAAATTACAGAGGAGAGAGGGGAAGAAACAGAAGGAAGGTTTTGCAATGTGTGTGAGAAGCAGGAGGTGCTTCTCTAGAGAACTCAAAGCCTTTTCCTGCAGATGGTCTCATTCCTTTCGTTTGACAAAGGGGCAGAAAAGGCAAGGGCGAGTGCTTTGCCCAAGGTTATAGGAGAGGTGTGGGAACGCTGCAGTGCTGCATGCGGTGCTGTGCGGTGCTGCCTGCTCACAGCCATCCTGAGAGGCTGCCAGACCCCACAGGGCGGATCACCGGCAGCCTCTCACCAAAGTGTTTGAAGGAGGTGATGCCAGGCAACAACCCAACACGTGCTGCAGGCCCCTGTGCTACTGCTTATATAGCAGTTTGTTCTACAGGTGTCTGCAACTGAAGGCAGTCATGGAATCATAGAATGGAATCATACAATGGTTTGGGTTGGAAGGCACCTTTGAGATCATCTAGTTCCAGCCCCCCTGCTATAGGCAGGGACTTCTCCCTCTGGACCTGGACGATCTGAAGCTGGGAGGATTGGCCGACCATCAGAAGGTCATGCTGCCATTGCATCCCTCATGCTGGATGAGCTGAGAGCTGGGCGGAGTGAACCTGGTGAGGTTCAACAAGTGCAAGTGTAGAGCTCTACATGTGAAGAGGAATAACCACGTGCATCAGCACAGGCTGGGGGCTGAGCTGCTGGAAAGGAGCTCTGCAGAGAAGGACCTGGGCGTTCTGGTGGCCAACAGGGTGGCAAGGAGCCAGCAGTGTGCCCTGCGGCACTCTGAGGTGTGTTGCAGAGAGCAGCCCAGCAGGGTGAGGGAGGTGCTCCTCCCCTCTGCCCTGGGGAAGGCACATCTGGAATGCAGGGTCCAGGCTGCTCTGCTGTTGAGGTGAGAAGTGTCAGAGCTGAGTCAGCCCAGCAGCAAGATCAGACTGCAGAAGGCTGGATAAAACAGTCAGGGGAAAAGAAAAAAGGAGGAAGGTGCCTTGAGTCAATTACACCGAGAAAAACTCTGTGTGAGGTGAAGGAACTTCACAGCTGAGCCAAAGCAAAACAAGCAGCTGAAGTTGGGAAGCAGGTGGGAGCCATGTGGGCAGGAATAGCAGCAGCTCTGCGTGAGCAGCCGCACGCTGAAGGCTGCAGGGCAGTGTGGGGCCAGGCCCTATTCCTGCTGCTGGCCCCAGGCAGAGCAGCCCCACTGCTGCACCCACGGCACACAGATCCAGGATATGGCACCGAAGGGTTCCTGCGCTAGAAAGAGCCTTTTGTTGGTCGTGGTTCAAAGGCTTTGAACTTATGTTTCATTCTTCCATGTTCTGACATGACAAAGGACTACTTTAATAGCTGGGTATTAAACCTATTCAGGGCAGAAAATGAAGGACTGCATTAGCCTGCAGCACTCAGGAGCTGTGTGTTATCAGCAGCCTGTTCTACCAGCATGCAGCAGGAGCCTCAGCCTCATCAGGGTCAGCGTGCAGCATTCCCCTCCCCAGCAGCGTTCCTTGCATGCCCTGTTCAGCCCCAGAGGGGTGTGAGCAATGCCCTCCTGCATCCATCACTCCCTGCTGCTGCACCCAGGCGCTCCTGGAGACCCACAGCTTAGGACACTTCCACCTTTTATTCTGAGGCCAACTTAGGTGCAGCTGTCCAGCTCCTGGCAAGCGGGCACCTCATGGCAGGCTGTGAGGAATGGGCTGAGGACACCGAGCAGAGTTGCACTTCTGCAGCACTTCCCCTGCCTGCAGCACAGCTCTGTGCCCCATTGCCCGAGGCAGCAGTGCAGGGCACAGGGAGCGACCTGAAAGCTGACAGCTCAGAGTCGAGGTTTGGCCACAGAGAGGAATGAGGCTCATCAGATTGAGCCTGGGAAGGCTTCCAAAACCTTGTCTTCACGAGGCAGCAGTGCACAGGTTTGCATAAATATCTATTAAATTCATAAAACAGCCCAAACGAAATACACCAAGGAAGGAACTTCTGCTGCATTTAAATCTGCACAGTCGCTCCCCTGTCTTTGAAATCCAGCGATGCTTGCCCCTCCAGCAGCCTGGGAGCAAGGTACCTTCCAGATGGTTCCCCCTTCCTAAAAAACTGTGCTGCACAGCCGATTAAATCCTGCTTGTTGTAATTAAGCCCGACACAATTAGCTGTCAAGCAGGGCACTCATCTGTTTTATGTTGCAATCTCTTCAACAGGCAAGGCTGCTAGACAAGATTGTCACTTTTCGAAAAGATTTTCATTAGTTACCCTGGGCTCTGTGTCAGACTATGAAATATAAAAATGTGCTCTGTAGCCAAGTCAGGGAAATTCTCATTTAATGTTCCACACAGTATTATGAAAGTAATGTACTTTGAAAATGAATGCATTTTGGAACATTTCGGAAGAAATGTAATTTGTCTGCTAAGTAATAACTGCATGTTCATGAATTTACTGATTATTTTTTTTTTTCCTATATACCTTTTGTAAAGTTGGGAAGACTTTTTCTGACCTAAAATGAAAGGAAGAGGAACTGTTGGTTTTAATGCTACTCCTTCCTTCTCTGCCTCCTTTCTTTCATTCTTTCTTTTCCATCACTTCTGTGCGCTCTGTCAAAACCAGGCCCTGTCCCACGGAAGCAGAAGCTTGGCAGAAAAAGAGCGTGCAGCTCCAGATGGGAAAACCAGAAGTAACTCAGGGCAGAGAGGAACAAAGGAGCTCCGTCTTTCTGTGCCTTTAAGAACAGAGCACACAAAATCCCCTGTTGCTCCTCAGAGTTCAACAACCAGCATCTGTCAGTGGAGATGCAATTATGACTTCCCTGTTTTTTGGTGGGACTGTGAATTTTCTGCATTGCTAATGTCACAGGCTAAGTGGGGTCAAACATAGCGAGCAGTAGTGCTTTCTCACCACCGAAAGTCAGATTCACAGTCAGAGCAAATAACAAAGGATTCAGGCTGGCAGAGCCTTCTTTCTGCCTTATCAGTGGGGGCAGGACTGCAGATGGAGAGCAGCCATGCCCACAGCCCCAGCACTGGGCTCAGATCTCACTGGGATCCATCAATGTGCCCAGGGAAGGACGGGGGGCAGAGCCGGGCACCCCAAAGTGCTGCAGCCTAAGAGCAGAGCTGTGGGTCGGGCTGGGCAGGGGGTTGGTTGGGGGCTGTGGGGAAAATGAGATTGGGACAAAAGGTGGCGGCGGGGGGAGGCAGATGGCTGGACTGAAGGATTGTAGAGACCTTTTCCAACCTTAATTATGCTATGATTCTGTCCTCGTGTGCTGTGCAAGCTTGGGTTGTCGGTTTATACGTGGAAATATAGTTTTCAGATCACGAGAAGTGCTGAAGTTTGAGCCCTGCTGTGATGAGCGGTACCTGGCTTTGTTTGCCACCTGTTACTGCCCATTAGCACCCCAGCAAACTCTCTTAGTCAGAACTCAAGTGGCTCTAATCAGGCTTCGTTTACCCTCCTTGGGAAAGAATAAAGTTCATTCAAATTAATACCACTTTCTCTCCAAATAGAAGCACCCCCCACCTGAGGTTCGGTGCATTTTAAAGATTTATCTTCTATGGCACACCTTTTCCTCACTCATTTTTGCTTTGCTGAGTCCTTTTCTCAGGAAAGAAAGCTCCCATTGTCCCAGGAGCAGGTCTGGAAGTCGTCTCGTTCGTGCCCTGGGTGCGTGCCTGGCACTGGGAGCTCAGTGCTGGAGCAAAGCCCGATCCATGAGCATTCAGCTGCAGAAGAAAAGGGGGGAAAGCTCCACAGCAGCATGAGACAGAGCGCATAAAAGCAGAGCGGGTGAACAGGAAAACATTGTCTCTTAATTGAGCTGGTGGAGAAGGAGGAGTAGTGGTGATTACAAGGCCTGCAGATCTTTGTTTACAAGAGCTGCCTTCCTGCGATCCATCTCTGTCGGACAGGAGCATCCAAGCCGAAGCAGAGCTCTGTCTGCAGAACACGCGGGGGCACGGCTGCGTGTGCATCGCTCCGCTGCCATCCCAGCTGCTGCAACTTCCCCTGCTCCAGCCAGGGGTGGAATGGCTGTGAAGCAGCACAGAGCAAGGCAGGCCTTGCCGGCGTGGCAGCCAGCAGCAGGAGGTGCTGCCCTGTCCCACTCCCATGGGCTGCGGGGCTGAGCGCTGCAGGTGGCTGACACGCAGTGGGGATGTGCCAGCAGGGCCTTTGGCGTGGTGTGACTTGCTGCTTTATTGCAAATAGCTTTGGCCGTTGCTGATGTGATAACAATAAAAACCAAACCCCCCAAATCCCTTCCTGCTCTATCCTTTGGCTGGATCTGCTGCTGGCACAGGCTTTGCCAGCGCCAGGTGCAAGGGGCTGCTCAGGGGATGCAATGAAACCCAGCTCTGATTTTTGTGTGTGTTTAACCCCTTCCTCCTCCATTTGCTCCAGTGGAACTCCCTCCCTTTCCAGGTTGTCAAACTGAGTGCTTTTTCCCCTATTGTGAGTGTTTTAATGTTAGAACATGAGTCAGGAAGGCAACACTAAAAGTAAAAGACCTCCAGGTGCTGGAAAAAAACTCCAACTGCCTCCCTGCTCCCACAGCATGGCTGCTAGCAATGGGATGGGCTACATGGCAACCCCACTGAGCTCCTGGTTTAGGACGTCACCTAAGCAGAGGCCTCTGCGTTTGCCCTGTCCTTGAACTGACACCCAAGCTTCAGGAGAGCCACAGCCCCCTGGCTGCCTCCTCAGCATCGCCCTGATGATGGTCAGACCCTCCTGGTTATTTGGGTTGGACCACCATCCTCTGCCCAGCACGTCTCAGCGCTGCTCGCCGCTTCCTCTTTCCTTCCCAGATTTCACCAAAGCCCCGTCACCGGTGAAGGTCTGACTGCAGCGACCTCCTGCACAGCTCACACCACCAAATCTCAGTCCTCCGAGAAGAACCCGAGGGCAGGTGAGACGTTCATTCAGCTCTCTGCTGTCTTTCAGGTAAGCAAATTTAAACATGTCTGGCAGTTCCAATTATTATTCTTTTAACTGCGCAACAAGAGAGGAAGGAAAAAAAAAAAAGGAGATTTATCACAAAAGATTATTTTGGGGGAAGGAGGAGGAGGACGGGGGAACTCTAGAATGTTTTATTTATGGGAATACTGCAAATTACCTTAATAAATTCCTTTACTAAGCTGTGTCAGCTACTAAAACATTGTTCTTTGTGGGTGAATAACTTTTAATTTGAGCGTTCTAGTATTCAGCAGAGTGAGGTAATGGATTAGCAATTGCCTGTATTGTAAATGTCATCTTGGCATAATTAGGGTGATTATTGTTAACCAGTGGAGTTCAGTATTTATCTGTCACTGGGTGAGAGGATATAACAAAGCCCCAATTAGTTATAAATGGTATATAAATTAGTTATAAATGGTGGTGGGTGGTGGGAACGGAACGCAGCCCCTGAAACGCTGCTTTTGTTTTAAATTTGCTTCAGTGTTTATTTGGTTTTAACGTCCGCATTACCGCGATTCCCCTGACAAGAGGGGCCGGGTGCCAGGCCTGGGTGCAGCGGTGGCGCGAGCAGCGCCGCGTCCCTGAGCAGCGCCTGGGTTCCTGCACATATGGGGAACCGTCCTCCACTGTGCCAGCTGTGAGCACACGCAGTCCCTGAGTCTGTCCAGCACTGCAGGCCCACAGAAGCAGAATTTCACAGTCGTAGATTGGTCGGATTGGGGGGGATTTTACAGACTTCCAGCCGCATCCCTCCCATGGGCTGCAGGCCCTACGGCTCAGGCTGCCCAGGGCCCCTTCCTGATCCACTCTCCCATTTAGGCTCCTTATTGCCCATTCATTTCTAACAGTGCTGTTTCTAATGGTCAGATGGAAACTGTAAGAGGAAGTGGTCTGAGTTCAGCTCTGCAAAGGAAGAGATAGAAAACCGTATTATGGGCAGGTATAGAGCAGTGTCCCCTTTGGGAACGTCATCTCCTTTTTCCCCAGGGCAGCAAATCTAGCTCAAGGCACCAGGGTTAATGTCCTTTGCAAATACTTATCCGGCCTAATAGATCTGGGGATATTGCTACCACTCACAGATATTTCAAAATCTCTCCTCTTAATCCTGACAAGCTCTTGCCCTTAATAACTTCAGTGGGACTCTTGCCAGAGCAAAGACTGTCAAGTCAGATTCTCAAATGAAACAAAAAAGAAAAGCAGGAAGGGAAGTTCAAGGTGAGGGGTTTTTTTGCTTGGTGCTTTTTATGGATGTTCGTAGATGGAAACTGTTGGGATTCTTTCCTTCTGATAACTTAAATGATGGATGAGGCAAATGTCCTGAGAAAGCCTTCCAGACCCAGCCACAAATGGCATAGGATGGAGAGAGCAAAGCCATCAGGGGCTGAGGACAGACAGAGGAAGAAGAATGAGAGTGGCATGGTAGGGAAATAGCAGCTTCAGTGGGAAGAAAGAGATTTCAGAGGGAAGCGGGGATCATGTAATTTGTGGAGTTTATACATAGAAATAGTTCATACATTTTTGGTTAGTGAATATTAAAGTATGTTGCAATTATCAGTTGTGAGTTATCCCAGAGGACTGTTGCTCGTGGCCGCAGTGTGTGCAGTGCTACCTCCTCACCTGCTTTGGGAACCTTTTGCAGTGCTCAGCCTCTTGTGACACAGATTTTCTCAGCATTCATTAAAAATGAGGGGAACATTTCTATATTCTCTCTGTCCCAGAAAACCTAGAAAACTGGATTTACTTTCCACAGGACTGCACAGGTTCTGCTTCATTCTAACCTTGAAGCTAGTAAATGCTCAGAAAAGCTAACTTAGATTCTGTTTGTTGTTCTGAAACAAGCCATAAATCCTTTGGAGTTTGGAGGGGGTTTTTTTCTCTTTCTTTTTACATGCTGCCAAAATTCTGCTATTACTTATTGAGACGCATTTGTAAGCTTACAAATTTGCAATGATTTTCAGCACAAATATTTTTCAAAGAAATGTTTCCCCTCTCCCCTGTAAAAATTCTGCCTCTGGCCTCTGTGGGGAAAAAAAGAAGATGTTTTGGCCAAAGAAGGAAAAAATAAAAATCTATAAACATTTCATAGTACTCATCAAATGCAATTTTGGTTTACTTTTACTGAGAAGCAGAACTTTCTTTTTTTCTTCAGCATCTATGGGAGTGTCAGAATTACTTTTACGGAGCGCTCAGCAGCAGGGTTTTTACACAGATATGTTCACTTTCCATGGAAAGTCAATAGATGGACTCAGAGCAATTCCTGAACAGAATAGCAGGGTTAAAAGGGGACTTTTGAAAGGTCGAACTCACTTGTATGAACTAAAGCGGTGTTTCTTTCCTTGAAGGCTTGATCCGGCTCCCACTGAGAGATATGAAATTGCTTCAACAGAAACAGGACCTGACCTTAACCGAGAGACGAGCCAGGACCTGGAGCAGCCCCAGCGCGTGACACAGGCACAGACATGCCAGCACCACCTCCTCACCCTGCCCTGCTTTGTGCTGCAGTCAGTCCCGGGAGAAAATAGAAATCCATCACAGTGAGCAGAGCAGAGGCTTGGCTCGGTAGCGTCATTTAATGCCTGATAATCCCTCATCCCAATTTGCTTGAATTTATTAGGTGTCCCTGGAAACAGGTGTGATGGAAATACCATGGAAACGTGAGACAAGTGGAGCCATCAGTTCACAGCCTCTCCGGCAGCAGTTTCATCAGGGAGAGCAGAGCTGACATCACGTGGGCACCTCCCTTTCCTCTCTCCATCTTCATGTCGAGAGCCCAAAGACAGCCCCGCGCCGAGCCTAGGGGGCACTTTTCATCAGGACTGGAGTGGGAATTGTGTCCACAACTGTCGGTGCCAACAGTCATCCCAAAGTAACCCCAATGTGGGCAGAAAGGGGCAGATTAAACTGCCTGAGATAAGCTGCTTGCGTCTGGAGACACCCAGTGGGGTGTTGCTTCCCTCTCCCCAGCCCTCACGCTTCAGCAGTGCCACTTGGCTCAGATAATTTACTTTTAATAGTCTGGTTACAAATGAGATTGCAAAGGAAGCACGTGATTCTGCACTGGGATTTCTGAGTCACATTCTCATTTCCCCCTCGTGCCTCCTAGGCCTCTAATAAACTACAAAGAGACATTAAGAAAACAATAAGAACTCTTTATCTATTGAGACTGGGGAACAGGAACAGTGAGCCAGCAGTAATGGATTCTGTGTATCTGCAGTACGTCCCTGCAGCAGCGACCGAACGAGGGGAACGGGAAGTTCGAGTGCTCAGGACATGGAGAGCCCGGATCAGCTGGCCAGCAGAGGGTAGAAAGCAGGTGAGCAGTGCCTGAGGCCGGCTGAACCCCTTGCCAGCTGTCTCCAGGAGGCATTTGGCCACGTCCATGCTGCACTCCATTGCAAACTCAGGGGGAATTAGGCAGCTGCCGTGTGTGCTGTGATTTTCTGCATCACCACCAGCGTGCACTGCATCGCTTGGGCCAGGATAAACCACGGGTGTTTGCAGCAGCACGTAAATAGGAAAAGAAAAGGGGTCACATCCTGCCACGGCCTGCAGCATCTCTGATGTTGACAGTGGTTCTGCAGTCAACTGCAGGTAATGGGAAATCAGGCCTGGGGAATCAACAGACAAAGGTGTTCCCCAAGGCAAGGAAATCGATGCAAAATAAAGTGCAGGTTAAAAACACATAGGCAGAACTAATTACAGAAAGAGAACTGAGCCCAGGGTAGATGAGAGCCCTTGATAAAAGAAATGGCTCCACCAGGTAAATGGAGCAGTTGGCCTCGATGGCTTGGGTTATTTATTTTATTTTTTCTCTTTCTTCATGTAGGTCAGATGTCTTCCCAAGGGGGATCCTCTTAAACTCCTTCTTAGGATCTCAATTACAAACTCAACACAAATTAACAGATAATAGAACAATTAGAGCAAAAGAAACCTGAGAGAAGAACACAGTATACAGAACGTAGAGCAAAGGGTTCATGGAAAAGGAAAATCAGTGTGACAGATATTTATTACTATCTTTATGAGGGGAGATGGGACTCAACCAGAGCCCATTTTGAGTTCTGTTCTGCTGGGGTTTTGCCATAAACGAAAGTGAGGAGTCTATCCTTACACTTTTGTGCCCAGCACATTTTAATTAGGGTTAAGAAAACAGAAGGAGGAAATAAAAACAAGGAAAAATAAAGAGAAAAAAGAGGTAAGAAAAATCTCCAGCTGATTCATAATTTAGTATCTGTTCTGCTCAGGCTTCTGTTGGATCTTCCAAAAGCAACATCCCCTTTCATTCAGATTGGGTAGCTCCTGTTCAAACGTCCTTTTGATGCCACACATGAAGAGAAAACAAACAACCATGAGCACAGAGAGGAAGAGCAAAAAGAAGGCAAACAATGCAATATGTATAGAATCTAACACAGCACAGCATCCCACACTGGGAGGCAGAGCCCGGCACTGGTGACTGTAATCCAGCACGAGTGGGAACACACCAGAAAAAGAAAGGACAGCATTACGAGTAACCAAATCCTTGCTTTCACAGCTTGCTTCCAGCACACACGCTGAGCAAGGTGTGCAGACACGCTCAGAGCCACGCAGCAGGAGCCACAGGAATGCCCATTTGCAGACAGCTGCAGGGACATAACCACGATCTCCACGGGGCGCAGGAGCCAGTGCCATGCTGGCAGGTGGGAAGCAGTTTCTCACTCCCTCTGCCCAGTGCTAGCTTGAATCTAAACAGAGGCCCCAGTACTTGTGCATCTTTGTCTACAGGTTTCTGCAGCGACCCACGAAACGTGTTCTCCCTGCTTGACCCATCCCACCGCGTTTCTGACTGCGCTTGGACGTGGTGGAGGTTGGTAGCATTGAGCTCAGATTCCAGTCAAGAAATTTGAAATTGGATTTGAGGTGAGTCCTGCTCCAAGGATAGCTCAGAATCGAATTATTTTAGTTATAGCAGGGAGGGGGAAGAGAAACAGAGTAGGTGAAATAATAGCAACTGTCTAGCTAAGATAAGCCAGACAAGACAAAATATTAATTCTGATTATGTTAGCACACCAAACAGAGAGAACTGCAATTCCGTCCACCTGCTGAAATCAGGGAAAATTACTGTCACCAATGGTGCATAATTTAGAAGTGTTAAATCATTAAACCTGGGTAGAAATGGTAACATGCCATTATTTGATGCCATTGATACTAAGCCTGTCTGTGGAAGGGAGACCTGCCAAGTCGGTGGCTCACGTTCCCTTGCAAATGGAGGCACTGCAAGCTTTCTGAAGGTTCATGAGCCTCACTGATAATGGAGAATACTTTCAACCTAAGCTGCTCACAGCTGTTCCCATTTGCTCTGGAGGGTGGTTGGGGTGGCTGCAGACCTGGAGCAGGCAAAGTTGTGCCATGCTGTGCTCTGTTTGCCCCCAGCTCTGCCAGTGGTTTTCTGTGTCATTTTGAGCAATCACTATGACTAGACACGTTCCCTCCCGTATCAGACAGCTCATACAGGTGTCCTCATTAACCTCATTAACTAATGAGCCAAACAGATCACACAGTTCTGCTGATGAGACTCACTTTGACTCTCAGAGCGCAAGTTTCTCCCATTAGCCCATGGTAATCAGTCCAACGTGATCAAAGGCCTCTTTCCAGTATTTGCCAGCATAGCAGAATACAAGGAGATATTGAACTGGACTCTGCTTGGAAACAGAGGTGGTGCAGGTGAAACACAAAGAGATGAAATGAGGATTGTGAGACTGTTCCCTGCTCTTCGAAATCAGTGCATTTCTGAAAGGGGGCACAGCCAGTTTATGGAGCATCCTTGGCTTCTCGTTTTCCCCACTGCTCCGATCACTTTGGGCTACCATGCAATCATCAAAAGGCACAAAACAAACACAGGAAAAAAATGCCCTGGTTTAGGGAAGCAGGGAAACCTGTGGCTCAGGTTCTCTCTCTCTGCAGGATCTGGGGAAAGCTACAGTTTTCTGCAGCCACCTGGAGCTTAATTGCCACTTAAAGGAATTATCTTCAGCCTTTTTCCCCAAGAAAAACAACTTCGTACAGAGCAGAGAGACAGATAGGAAAACAGGTTGGAAATTGCCTTGTAGATCACTTTTCCATCCCTTCCATGTTCACAGGAAAAGAAAATAAAAACAAAATGCAATCAACAGGGACAGGGAAGAAAAGAGTTGCTGCAGAGTCTGAGCCTCCAGAAGCTGGAATAGGAAAGAATGGAACCATTCAAGCATCCCCTGGTGTGGTGGTCCTTCCTCAGGTCCCTGCAATTGGTCCAGTCCTGCGTCTCACCAAGCACACCCTTGTGCCATCTCTCAGGGTAGGTTCTTCTGCTTTTGGTGTTATCATAATTAATGGTTTTAGGGAGTTCTCCCAGCATTTGATAATCTTGACTAGGATTCTGCCAGGAAGACAATTTCTTCTCTCCTTTAAAGAAAAAAGGAAGCTCTTTTCTCTTTCATATATACCAGAATAACTCCTGACTGAAATGAGCTACTTGCAGTTGGAGAAAGGCACTGCACTGACAGGCTGGAAAACCAACAACTTACGATTAAGATACAAAAAAAGTCACCTCCCCACTGATGGTGGAGGCTTAGCAGCAGGAGACTCTTCTCTTCCAGAATCCTTTTGCTGCACAAAAACCTTCAGAGGAAGTTGTCAGAAGCCAGGAATGGGCAGGCCTAGCCTAGTGTGCCCGGAGATTAAACTAGCCCTAGCTCAAACCTCAAGTTGTTTTTATACTCTCTTCCTTGTCCTCAGTCATACTAAATGGCACCATGTTCAGACTCCTTCTGAACATCTCCCTGAGTGAGGGATCCAGGCCTCCTTCCAATGGACCTCACTGCAGTGCTATGGGTGGATGCCCTTCAGTAAGAGTGGTTTTCAGTGCTTAGGGCTGTAAAATAAGGCTCCAGTTCCTCCTTCTTTCTATTTTTCTCCACTTATTCCTAATGCTGGTATCTCGTCAGTCTATGAGTGGCACTCCTACGTTCCTGTTTCTCCCTCTGTACCCAACAGTCTCTGTACACGTTGATCCATGCACATTATCAGTTCAGTTCTCAGCATATGGTTTTCAAGCACTTGCTTTCAGAAGAACTAAAATCACATAAAATATTCCAGACTGTTCCCTGTAAGCACTCTTCGATTCACAATCAAGAGCTGTCACCAAAGGCTTTGTATTTAAGAAACACATTGTGACTTCTTTCACAATTAAATATTTTAATTCAAACCTTGAAAATGACCTTGGAAGTAAACAGAGAGTAGGAAAGTCCTCAAACTATCGCCATGAAAAGGGATTGTTTCAAGAATGGCACAGGTCACTGAGATGTGCATCCGAGGCGTTCGTCTCCCGGAGGGGTGAGATTGCCATTTTGGAAGTGTCCACTTATTGGGAAATAACTCATTCTGAGCAGGAACCACCCCAGGTCCAGAGGCTTTGTAGCTCATACTGTCTTGCTTTTGTTTTCCTGGCCTTCATCCTCAGCTCCTGTCCATTGGTATCTCTTAACAGAAGTCAGCTGAGATACTTCTCTGAGGCCCATTTACTTCTCACTTCTGCTTTCTTTCTGTTTCCAAGCAGACATGGATAAAATAAGTCTTTGGTACACAGCAAACAGAGTTATAGAGACTGTGAGCAACAAGCTTTTTTGTGTGTATCAACAACTGTCAGGGCTTTTATTCCAGGTGATTCTGTGAAGAACAGAAATGAGATAGCAAGACTTCACATGCCACAGAAAATCTGCAGTGCCAGCAGTGAGAAAGCTCTTATAAATTAAGTATAGCTGACCCGCAGGAATAAGCCTAAGGAAGAATAAGCCATAAAATAATCACAGCTCTTTTAAAGCCTCTGTTTCGTTAGAGAGTCTTGTACAGCTTTATAAAATCAGGCAAGTATTTATTATAACAACTTACAGAAGGGAACATAAAGGCCCTGAGAGGTCGTAGTTGGCACATTGAGATGCTGGTTGAGATCCACGTGTGCTTTGTTGCTAATGACCCAGAAAAGCGCGATTGCTCGTCTCATGTGGAACACAGGGAAGCAGTCGTACACAGGGACCATTTGGGAAAACCTTGCCAATTAACTTCCTCGGTATCCCACAGAAAAACAGTAAGAGAGAAGTAGAAACAAGCCTTGTTGACAGCACTGCTGCCCAACCTCTGCTGCCCACAAGAGGGTTGCAGATGAGCAGCAGAGTCCTTGAAGAAGGAAGTCCAAGCAAATGGTTACCTAACTTCCACTGAACTCTTCACCTTTGAAACATTCTCCATATCTGTTATTACTGTTTTGGGTGGTTACCAGCAGGATTTCTATTTGAATAATGGCTTTGTCCCTCCCTGAGTCACATCAAATTAGGCTTCAGTTTGTTTGTGTGTCTTCTTGTCTTAGTTAAGGTACACTTTTCTGATTACCCAAAGGGAAACACAATGCATATTAAAACGTGAATTATGTAAGGAGCTGGGGTAACTGATATTCTAGGGACGGGGCTGCCATGGCTGCGTGTCACTCAGACACTGTCCTTTTCCAGTGACTTTCATCCAGGAAGTCTATTTTGCAGCTCAGACATTAATTAGTGCTCTCATTTTCCCCATGAGCAACAGGCTCCCATTGCCAGCTGCACAGAAGCACAGAGAGGAGCAGAAATTTGTGGGGACAGAGAGAGGCACGATTTCCTGTTCAGATCCATTTGGAAGAGTTACAGCTCCGTTCTGACCATCTGAATGCAGCCAGAGCAGAAGTATGGCCATACTTTGCTTATCTGCAAAAAGCCTCCCGTGTACCCACAGAAAGAGCTGGCTGGTGGGAAGACAAATTTAGGATACGCTAAGGAAAGTGGAATAGCAGTGCTCTTCTTGTACCTGAGCTCAATCTGCTGCACTGTTCAGTGAACACAGAGGAACAGAAGCAAGTTTAAGTGACTCCAAATCCAAGCGTGATACTTGAGACTCATCATTTATATTCTGAAAGTGCTAGCAAGAGCAGGGCTTATTTGTTGATGTTTGTTTGCAGAGGTTTATTTGTTTGAAAAGGCTAATCAGCTATCAGGATGCAGGGGCAATTGCTTAAATGTAAAGGAAAAGGAAGGGATTGTTCAAAGCTATTCAGATGAGGTAGCATGGTTTGCGTTTTGATGTCGGTGTGCAACCAACTGACAAATGCTGAGCCAAGTCTGGTGTAAATCCAGATGAATTCCATTAGATTCAACAGACTCACTTCCAATTTATTCTGATGTAAGAGAGAGCATGATATTTCCATTTAGATTTACATTAGATTTGTTTCCTGTTTTCCATAATTCAGTCAGTTTCCATTGTGTACAAAAACAGCCTGCGCCAGATTTTGATCTCATTTGCATTGGATGAAAACAGTTGTTTCAAATGGAACTACACTGGATTTATAATTGCATAAATGAGAGCAGAATCTGATCTATTCTCAGTGAGAATTTCCCAGGGCGTTGCCATGTGAGAACACCCCTGCTGTGGTGGAGTGATCAGGTGCTTTGTCATCAATTTCCATGGAGAATTTTCATCTCAATCCTGGACTGGAGCCCTGAGTGTGGCATGACAGCTGCTGTGCTGCAGACCGAGGTACAGAAGCCCCTCTCCTTCAGAAGATGAGCTCGCAAGCCAGCACTGCCACCATCCCTTCACCAGGAGTGAACACTGTGCGTTGGCTTAGAAGATAAAAACAGAAAGAGCTCAGTCTTGCCTGGCACAGCTCTTCTTCAAACGATGTGTTGGCTCTGATATATTTCATTTGTCACACACGTTATTTTTAAGCCAAGTTCTCTGTGTTGTCTTTTGCTTCCTCCCCTGAGGCCTTTCTGACTCCCCTTGTTCAGCTGCAATTAGAAACGTTAGGAGCAACACAATGATTCTCTGGCAGATAAGGCTATCTCTGTTCTGATG